AAAAAAAAAAAAAAAAAAAAAAAAAAAAAAAAAAGAAGGTATATTCAGAAAGTAAGAATATGGCAATTAAGTGGATGTTCAGGGGAAAAGTCCTATCTAATGTTTTGTTTTATTTTGGAGACAGAGTCTCACTTGTGTAGTTTAGACTGGACTTGAACTCACTCTGTAGCCCAGGATGGCCTCAAATTCGCAGCGATCTTCCTGCCTTAGTCTCCCAAGGATTACAGGTATCCACCACCATACCACCCAGCTAAAAAAGTCTTAATATGGGTTGGGGATTTAGTTAAGTAGTTCTACCACCTGCCTTGTAAGCACAAGGTCCTGAGTTCGATCCTGGTACCAAAAATAACCAAACAAAAAGTCTTAATCTAATGACAGATCTATCTCTATTACAAAGCAGTAGCTCTTTTTGCTAACTTTCCTCCTCTTGGCCTTCTGCAACAGTATTAATTACTTAATCTACTTCACTCCTTATGGACCAGTTATGGAGCCTTCCTGAGGGCTATATAAACATAACAGAAAAAAAGTGACTCTATTTAAAAGTTGCACTCTCTGAGCAAACCTCAGGTTTCTCCATCATTTCATTAAAATCCTGAAGCCAAGTCAAATGTGGAAAATGGTGAACTTACCACCAAACAAAGGTTCTGGTTCCACCAATATTTCTTGCTTTTGAGGAATTGGGGCACGAACTTCTTCTCTATTAAAAAAAAGTGGGGAATACAAAAAGAAAATTATTTTCTAGTATAGTATCTTCTTCCTGTAATTATTATCAATGTATTCAAATTAACAAGTAAAATGAACACCAGACTTAGCGACTTTTTAGGAACCACAGTAATCATGATAAATGAATACAGTATTACATAGTTTCCAACAGAGATTAGTGAGGAAAAAATACCTGGCATAAGTAGCTCAAATGGTTAATAAAAAAGAAAAGAAAAAAATAGATAATTAAATCACAAGGATATGTTAGAGTGTACTTAAACAGTAAATTTTATGCTAATTATGCAGGAGGCTAACATAGGTATAATCTTGGATTATTTACCACACAGATCCTAATATACAGAATAGAAAAGATAATAGTATGTCTTCTAAAATTCCCTTCAAAGTTTACCTCAAAAGGGCATACTAAATAGTCCATCTTTTCCAGTTAAAAAATACATCTTTTGATATTTTTAAAAGTGCCTGAGTTGCAGCTCAGTGATAGTGTGTTCACCTGCTCAGCCTGCATGAGGCCCTGGGTTCATTCCACAGCACGGCCCAACTGAAAGGCTTTTAAAAATGGTGGGTGCCCTCAAACTGTTTATCTTACAACCAAACAAAAAACTCCATTGAATAATGTTCATGAAAAATAACAGTAATGTACAATTCTAAGCACGTAAATTCCATACAAATATGTATTGAGAGGGTTGCTTTAACTTTCATTCAGGTGTTTCTAGTACCATACTAACAAATGAGAGTAAGGCTGTTTTTGATGTCTAAGAGTTGGAATTCCAGAAGGTACTACTGTCAATACTCTTCTGTCAAGTCACTAAGAACCAGTATCAGAGTGTTATTTTTGTTTGTTTGCAGCAATGGGGACTAAACCCAGGCCCTCAAGCATGTGCTGCTCTACTACTGAAATACATCTCCAGCCCTCATCCCCATCAAAGAACCACCGTTAAAGATATTGACTCAGCCAAGTGATTGGAGGATAAAGAACAATTCAAAAATGCAGGACCAAGGGAAAAAGTGGAAATAAGGGGAGGAAAAGGGGTTGAGGGCAGAGGAGGGGAATTAAAAAAAAAAAAAAAGAATCAGTAGCCAGGGCCAGAGATTTAGCTCAGTGGCACAGATGCCTGCCTCGCAAATGCAATGTCTTAAGTTTGATCCCCAATACCCCCCCAATAAGACAACAGCAGCCAGATATATCATGTATGGTTACAAATTCCCTATGATGAAACTTATTATGTATATCCAAAATGTACCAATAAAAAAAGAACAATTCAAGTTATGTTTAAGGATGCGTCCTCTTGGACATCAGTCACTACTCATACTCAGTATCTCCATTATCTCACAGAACAGACTTCTATAAGAAGCTCTGCTAATCCTTTCACCAAAAAAAGAAATAGGCAAGTTCGGTATAGTAGTGTAAGCCTGTAATTCCAGCTACTCAGAAAGGTGAAGCAGGAGGATCACAAATTTGAGACTGGCCCAGGTAATTTAAACAGACCTTATCCAAAAATTTCAAAAATGAAAAAGGGAAATATGGACCCCATGGCAGTGTTTGCCTAGCAAGCACAAGGCCCTGAATTCAATCCCTAGGACCACAAAAAGTAAATACAAAAACACATGGGCTAGGGAAATAGCTTAGTGCAAGAATGCTTGCCTAGCGTGTAAGGCCCTGGGTTCCATCCTCTGCACTGCTTCCCCAAATCCCCAAAATTGTTTTGTACAATGAAGAGGAAGGACATTTCCCAAATTGACTGTAAATACCTACTATTCAAGTTTCTATGAACTGAACCATGTTTTCATACTGATTTCCATTAAAAATCTGAGCCATGTTGGAGAATGGGATATTACAAATGAAACATGTGGCCAACATTAACAAGATAAAGCTATAAGGTATTAATAATGATCTCTAAAGTTCACACTCCAAGTGAAAATAATACTGTATTGATCTGGAACTAGATCAATGAGAGGCAATTATATTTGCATGTACTCTGGCTTTTAAATTTATCTAGTTTAGTAAAAATAAAATCCTGGCATTTTGCCTATTCCTATTTTTAAAAGTAATTTTAGTTTTACTAGTTCATATATGCAGTATATAATGACTACACTCATCATGGGGAGCTGGTACATGTACATAATACATCTAAATTCTTTTTACTCCTCTTTCCCCTTCATCTACTTCTTGTTCTTCTCATTTGCAAAAAAAAATCTATTTTCCTCTCTCTATGTTTTATTTGCTCTTCTTTCCTACTTTTGGTTTGTCATATAAGAGAAACCATACAATATTTAATCTTGTTTGTCTGGTTTATTTCACTAAACATTATGGTCTTAAAGTGTATCCATTTTCCTATGAATGACTCAATTTACCATTTTTCATGGTAATGTAGTACCCCATTACATACACACACACACACACACACACACACACACACACACACACACACAGTGCTGCATTTTCTTCATTCATCTGTTCACAAACATACAGGCTACTTCCAAGATTTAGCTATTACAAGTTATGCTGCTATAAATATAACTGCTCATGGATCACTGTAATATGATGTCTTTAACTCTTGGGAAGATACCTAGATGGGGAATAACTGGGTCAAATGAAATTTCTTTTAGTTTTTTGAGGAATCACCATATAATCACAGTGAGTAGTACTAGTTTACATTCCCTAGTAAAAGGGCTCCTTTTCCCCACAGCCTCACCAATATTTTATTTTTCCGGTACTGGGGATTGAACTCAGGACCTTGTGCTTAAGAGGCAAGTAGCAGCACCACTAAACTAAATCCCTGGCCCACCAACATTTGTTATTATTTGGTTTATTGATGACGGCCATACTTGTTGGAGTAAGATGAAATCTCAGAATTATTTTAATTTGCATTTTTAATAGCCAGATATTAAATATTTTTCATATATTTATTGGTCATTTATACTTCTAATAAGTCTCTATTCATTCCAGTTGCCCAAAAAGCTAAGAGTATTAAAATCTCACTTGATATTTTAAATATTTTGTTTCAAAAAATAATGGCACCAGGCATGGTGGTGCCCACCTGTAATCCCAGGACTTGGGAGGCTGTGGCAGGAGAAATGCCTCAAGTTTGAGGCCAGCCTGGGCTACATAATGAGTTCAAGGATGAACTACATAGCAAGACCCTGTCTCAAACAAAATGACTTTCCTTTGAGCAAAGTTAATGTCTAATATTTTCTAAAGGCTTGAAATTTAGCCCAACAGATAGTTATTTTAAACCTCACTGGTATTAAAATAGTTTTCTTTTATAATAAAAACAAAACTAAACAATCATTTGCCATTTCTTTAAATGGGCCAAGTACACATTTATTAATAAAAAGGGCAAAACATCAAATCTCTTCACCTTTTACTACTAGCCTCTATATGTTATAGTTCCACAAGGTAAGGATGGTACTAAGTATTTAAGGTAAAAAGGATTAGGATTCTTTTTCTTTTTAAAAAATTTAATTCTTTTTAAGTGTTGAAGATTAAACCTAGGTTCCCAAGCAAGCAAAGCACACTACCACTGAGCTACAATCCCAGTCTAGAATTACTGTTCAAAAATTTTGCATGGCTGGGCATGATGGCGCACACCTGTAATCCCAGCACTCGGGAGGCTGAGGCAGGAGGATCGCTGTGAGTTCGAGACCAGCCTGGGTTCCATAGTGAGTTCCAGGTCAGTTACAACTACATATTAAGACCCTGTCTCAAAAAACAAAAAAAAAAACAACAACAAAAAAATTCTGCATAGCTACTTACTTTCCCAAAACAAAGTAGAAAAATCTAGAACTGGATGTGGGGGTGCACACCTGTAATCTCAGTACTCAGGAGGCTGAGGCAGGAGGATCACTGTTCAAGACCAGCCTGGGCTATACAGTGAGTTCCAGGGCAGTCTGAATGAACCAATCTCAAAAAAAAAAAAAAAGAAAAGAAAAAAGAAAGAAAGAAAGATAGATAGATAGATAGATCGATCGATCTAGAATTGGGAAATACACACTTTACTGGCCTTCCCTATCTGCTGCTTAATGCTCTGCAGCTCAGTAAGATGTGGTAACAATGGCCCCCTTAAAGTTCTCTGGTGGCCCTACTTGTCTGTTTTGGTTTTGGCTGCTTCAGGACTCACAAGCCCTGCCCCCTCCATCAGCCACCAGCTGATCTCCCAGACTCACATGAGGCCCACATGGGTCTTCTGAAGACTGAATAACAGAGGATTAAATCATATGCAAAACAGTGATCTAGAGAATTCAAGTACAAAAATTTCCACCTGATTTTTTTTTTCAGGGCTTTCAACCTTTAAATTTTTTTTTAAATCAAAAAAACAAGCAACTTAACTTTGACAAAAACACAATTAGTTGATGGGGGCATGGCTGTGAATAGTAAACCATTGATCCATACTCTGTATGTGGTCTGACAGTGGAGACACTTGCAGAACTGGTACTGGGCTCTTCTGCGATTCCTCCCCCATCCAGGAACATAGTGACTGCCATCTCCAGGTTGTTGTTGCAGGCTTCAAGCATGTGCTTTCCTACACTTTCACTTGCACCTGAAATGGCAAAAGGACAGAAAAAAAAGTTAATGAAGACATCTTACAATGAGATCTTGTTAGAGAATTCCCAAGCAAATGAAAAGCTCTTTTCCCTTCTAAATGACCTTTTTATATATACAACTTTATTTTTATACTGTTGGCTGGTGTAGAATACACGAAGCTAAAAAGAATGTAGCAGCACTGAAATAGTAGTCTTCTTTTTTTGTTTTGTTTTTTTGTTTTTTTGAGACACGGTCTCACTATGTAGTTGAGACTGACCTGGAACTCACTATGTAGCCCAGGCTGGTCTTGAACTCACAGTGATCCTCCTGCCTCAGCCTCCCGAGTGCTGGGATTACAGGCGTGCACCACCATGCCCGGCTAGTATTCTTTTATAATAAAACGAAACTAAATAAAATAACATAACATTCACCATTTTTTTCTTATTCAACATTTCTTTAAATTGCCCAAGTATATATATATATATATTAATAAACAGGAAAAATAAGCGAGGAATGGTAGCACATCCCTGTAATCCCAGCACTCTTGGGAGGCTGAGGCAAAGCATCACAAGATTGAGCCCAGCCTTGGCAATTTAGTGACTTCGTGAGACTCCATTTCAAAAAATAAAGGGCTGGAGATTTAGCTCTGTAAAACCCTTGATTCAATCTCTAGTACCTAAAAAATATAAAGACTACATTCTAGAAAGTCAGAAATATTTTCTTTTAGGAAGAAGGTATTTCGGTTGGAATTTCTGTTTCTGATAGAAAACATTTTTTTAAATTAAGTTTATTTAAAAAACTAAAATAAAATTAAGTTTATTAGTACATTTTAGGTATATATCATGATCACGTTCATTATTGGGAATTTGCATCTGTACCTATCTTGGTTCTTACTTTATCCCATTCCCCTTCCCTCCCTTTCACCCTTCCCTATTTACTTAGGCTTTGTTTGTTCCTTTTCCCCCTTTTTCTTTCCCCTGCTCCCTGCTTTAGTTCCTTTCCCTTTGAACATTTTTTTCCTATTTCACAATATTTATTGTACATTTTGGTCCTCATTTACACTTTCAGTTTCTTGCACCAGAGAAACTATTCGGTTTACACGTGTCCTATTTATTTCACTGAAAGAGTATGGCATCAAGATACACCCTTTCAGCTGTAAATGTCTCTAGTCTGTCTTTCTTTATGCTAGTAGTACTCCATTTTATTTTAAAAAATTTAAAAACCTACATCTTCATTATCCAATCACCAGTTGATGAGTATTCGGGCTGTTTCCAAGATTTAGCTATTACAAATTGTGCCACTATAAACACAGGCATGCATATATCACTAGGGTATGATGCTTTTAATTCTTTTGGGAACATACCCAGAAGTGGAACAGTGGGGTCAAATATGACCTCTAATCCTAGTTTTTTTTTAATCTCCACACTGATTTCCACAGTGGTTGTACCAGTCTACATTCCCACCAACAGTGAAGAAGGGTTCCTTTTTCTCCCACATGTCCTTTAGTATTTGTTAATGGTTGATTTCTTGACAGCAGCCTATTCTTTCTGAGGTGATATGGAATCTCAGCCTTGTTTTCATTTGCATCTCTCAAATGACCAATGACGTTGAAAATTTTTTCATGTTTATTTGCTGCTTCTACTTCTTCATCTGAGAAATGTCTATTCATTTTGATGCCCATTTTTGGATTGGGTCTTTAAATTGTCAAAGATTAGGTAACTGAGTATATGTTGAGAGTTGCTTCTGTAACCTCCTAATCTGTTCTGTTGATCCACGGGTTCTATTTCTTTGTCCACAGTTTTTACCACAGTAGCTTTGTGATATAGTTTTAAATTGGGGATTGTGATACATCCTGCCTTGTCTTTGTTGCCTTGAACTGCCTTTGCTATTCTAGGTCTCTTCTGGTTCCAAATGAATTTTTGGATTGTTTTCTCTCTTTCGGTGAAATACACTATTGAAATTTCAATAGGGATTATGTTGAATCTATATAGCAGTTTTGGAAGTATGGCCATTTTCACTATATTGGTTCTTCCTACCAAAGAACAAAATATGTCTTTCCATTTTCTGATAGCCTCTTTGGTCTCTTTTTTAAGAATGCTGTAGTTTAGAAAAACATTGCTAATCCAAAAGCAAGAGAGCTGAGACATTTTTGTTTAAAATGTAAATAAATCAAACACTAGACAGAAACATCTTTATCACATAAAGGTAGCCCTAACATACATACAAACATACATACATACATATGTACGTACATTCATTCATTCATTCAGAGGCAGTCTTTCCATGTAGTTCAAGCTGGTCTTAAAATGTGTAGCCCAGGCTATCCTTGAACTTGCAGCAATCTTCCATGCCCGGCCCTAACAGTCAATTATAAATAAAGCCAACAAAGTCTATTAAAGCTGGGCATGGTGGTGCATGCCTGTAATCCCTGCACTCCGGAGGCTGAGGCAGGAGGATCGCTGTGAGTTTGAGACCAGCCTGGGCTACATAGTGAGTTCCACGTCAGTCTCAACTGCATAGTGAGACCCTGTCTCAAAAAACCAACCAACCAAACAATACAGTCTATTAAATAAAATGCAAATGGAAAATTCTTTTAAGAAAATAGTTTCTGAAACACATTTTATCCACCGCCTGCCTTACAAGTGCAAGGACCTGAGTTCAGGCCCCGGTACCAGCATCTATAAATAAATTAATTAAAATTAATTAATGTAAAAAAGGATTGCGGATGCAGCTTAGTGTGAGGGCCCAGGGTTCAATCCCAAGTATTACCAAAAATATTTGTTTACAGCATGTACCAAGAAACAAAAATACTCGTGAATAATTCTGACTGTGGGTTTCTAGTCAAAATAATTAAATCTACATAAAACATACACACATAAACATGTCCATGTGTATGTCTAGTTAATAATGAAAGCTTCAGTTAATAATAAAACTTGGAAATGATATGTGTAAATTTTATTATATATGTAATAAAATACTTGTGGTCACTATAAAGCATCTCAGGCTTCCCATTTATAATTATTTTTCTTTATATAAATTACATCTAGATTCTCCTGTTGTAAGTGCTCATGTTTTAGTCTGAAAAATGTCTATTTCAGGGTCATTCTTGAAGCTCTACTGGGCATGCCATTTCAAAGCTGACAGCTACTCGTTCTTGGTACATTGAAGATAGCATTTCAATGTTCTTTGGCTTCTGCTGTTGTTCCTGGGAAAGCAGTTGTCAGAATAAAGAAAAAGATTTTTATAGTAATCTGTTGTTTCACTCTAGCTACTAATTTTAAGACTGCTCTGTCTTTGGCTTGCTGCAGTTTCACTCTAATTTGCCAGGGCTTATTTTACTTTTCCTCCTTGTGACTCACTGAATTTCTTCCACCTGAGGATTACCTTTTAAGAATTCTGAGAAGTTCTCATTTAATTTGACTCTTATCTTACCCCTTTATTCACATGTATTTCCTTCTGGAACTGCAATTAGATACATGTTAAAACACATCACTATCATTTTTATGCTTCAACCTTTCATATGTTTATTGTCTCTGTTGTATTCTCACAAGATGTTCATTATCTTCCAGGTCACATTCACTCATTCTCGTTCATAGTCATTCACTCTATTTACTTATTGGTTTTTTTGAGACAGGGTCCCTTTGCAGTTCAGGCGGGCTGTGAACTCACTATGTAGCCCAGGCTGGCCTTGAACTCATGGAAATCCTCCAGCCTCAGCCTCCCAAATGCTAGGATTGCAGGTGTGCGCCACCATGCCCAGCTTTATCTATTTTGAGACAAGGTCTTATGTAGTTTAGGCTGGCCCTGAACTCAAGGTGATCCTCCTGTCTTAGTCTCCAGAGGGCTGGGATTATATGTATGTGTCACCACCATGTGCAGCTCATTTTTCTTTATTTAATGTCAGTTACTGTTTCATTAACTACAAGTTCAATTTTTGTTTATTTTCCATTTGCTTGGTCATGTTCCAGAGACTCTTAATTCATAATTCTATTTCAATCCTTCATTTAATCAAACACTGGAATTACAAAGGTAAAACAAATTTTCCGCAGTCTAGATGGGTCACTGTCTTTGTTACTCTTACTGTATAATAGTTTTCTTGTGATATGTGATGTTATTTATTTATTTTTTTTGGCATCAGGAATCGAACTCAGGTTCCTGGGCTTGAAAAGCAGGCGCTAGAACCAATGAGCTAAATTCCCGGCCCATGTGATATTATTTTTACAGTAATCTTGTGCCTTGTAAATTTTTGTCTGTAGATTTTTAGAGCCCGGATTGAAGGAATATTCCTCCCAAGAGATATGACAGGGTAGAATTATTGTTATTGTTGTTGCTGCTACTGTTGTTTGAGATATGGTCGTGCTCTGTAATTCAGGCTGACCTTAAACTCACTATGCAGTACTCTGCATCAGTACCTGGAGTATTCTTGGGATTGCAGGGGTACAGTAGACCCAGCTTTTTTTTTTTTTTTTTTTTGGTAAGGTGACAACAGGTACTACCAAATAAAAGACCACTTTAAATACATTCTCAACCTGGAAGTTCTTCAAGACCATGCAGAAAATGTACAACCCTGTTAGATATCCACCCTCCGCATAATGTGCTTCCCCAACCCCGCTAAAGATGAAACATCAACCGCAGCATCATGAAGGGGCAGGGCTCTTTTTAGATTCTTCTTCTTTGGAAGGCCTTAGGTTTTGTTTCCAGTACCCTGTAACAGGATACAGCCCCCACTCCACTCCTCCCCTCACAGCACCACCTTCTGTACTACTACAAAGTATACACAGCAGGAGAGCACCAGGCAAGCAAGCAAGCAAGCGAAGCTCCCTCTGTATTTCCTGCTATTCTCATCCCAGAATCACTGTTTGAGCTCCACACCTCTAGTCACCTCTAGTCAGACCAGCAAGGCATTAGATTCTCACAGGGAAACAAACCCTACTGTGAACTGCACTTGTGAGGGATCCAGGGTGCAGCTCCTTAGGAGAAGGTAAGGCCTGATGATCTGAAGTGGAGCTGAGGCGG